CCTTTTCAAATCATCTCCCTGATGTAGCTGCAGTCACACATTCTAGATGCCTGATAGGGCTTGGGTACAGCAGCTTCCTGTCCTTCAACCTCTCAGCATGGAACATGTTAATGCTGTTTGATGTCTGCTTGCTAGTCACCTTCTTCTGGAATGAGAATAGTCTTGCCACGGCCAGTAGCAAGTCAGATGCTGTGGTACCTTTGGTTACAGTTGGTGTAAACCTAGACCACTGTGGCCTCTGTGAGTTTTAGTCTCTGTATATATTAGATTCAAATGCAAAATGAGAACTAGAGTGTTGTTAGGTCAGGTCAAGCATTTGCCTGGCATGTATGAGCCCCTGAGTTCCATCCCAGCTCTACAAAAATAATAAATAAATTAATGAATAAATAAAAAAATCACAAGCTTTTGTTCTACATAGTACTTGCTTTTCCTGTTAACCAGTTGTGCACTTGACTTAAGCTGTTTATTGACTTATAGACCAGGTCTCTCCAAGTAGCCTAGGCTGGCCTTGACTCACAGTCCTCCTGCCTCAGCCTCCCATGTGCTGAGATTATAGGTATGTACCCACACCCATATCATGGCTTAGTCTCTTTCAGTGCTTCTGAAGGCTGGCCTTTTGGGTAGCATAGCAAGTGCTATGGAAAGGAGTGGAGGTCTGCTGGGGCCTGGTGCCAGGCTTTCTGGATTCGTTCTTCCTGTTAGAATGTGAGGTGACTGAAGGCAAGTGTGCAAAGTACTCAGAACAGTGTTGAGCTCAAAAATGTACTCACTAGCATTAGGGGAGAGGCATTCCCTGGAAAGAGTGACAGAAGATGTGGCTGCCTCTTGTACTTCTCAGCAGTCCTCAAGAGAGAAGCTGATGTGATGGCCGTTGGTGGATGTGGAAACTGAGGCCCACAGAGGGCATAGTTGCAAGCAGTAGCCAGGACTTGGCACTTAGCAGGGAGGTGGACCTGAACATGTGGTTCCCTCCTGGCTTTGCATTCTAGGACCTGTCAGTCTCAGCCCAAAGTGGGGGTCGTGCAGGTCAGTCAGCCGCTCAGGAAGTGCATTACCCAATGGGCCATCTCACTAACCTGGACCTCACTCTTTAGCATCTATATCCACTGTTCTCAACCTGTGGGTCATGACCCATGGGGGGGTCAAACAGCCCTTTCACAGGGTCACACATCAGATATCTGATATTTACATTATCATTATAATATCAGATATTTACATTACAATTCATAACAGTAACAAAATTACAGTTAGGAAATAGCAAGATAATTTTATGGTTGGGGGGTCACCACAACATGAGGGACTATACTAAAGGGTCTCAGACTTAGGAAGGTTGAGAACCACTGATCTCCATGGATTCCCACTCCAGCAACGGGGCTGACCAGAGTTCCATAACTCTTCCTCATCCATGGACCTTTAGATGTTTCTAGCAATTGCTAGATGACTGCATCTGTAAAGGCTTGAAATTTCCCCACTCCCTGCCCCCACCCTCAATACTTGGCTATCCAGAGAAGTAGATTCCCTTGGAAAGTTCTCAAATTCATTAATTTTTTTCTTTTTAAAGACAAGATCCAGTCGGCCCAGAACTCACTATATAGACCAGGCTAGCCACTAGCTAACTGACTCATAGAGCTCTGTCTACCTCTGCCTTCTGAATATTGAGATTAAAGGCATGCACCATTACACCCATCTGAATTCATCCTTTAAAAAACAAAAGCTTTTTTTTTTTTCCTTTGAGAATTTCACACGGTGATTTTGATCATAGTGAGCCCTACCCGTCCCCTCGCAGTAATTCTTGCAGGTGATTTTTCTCTTTGTTTTTCTTTGGATACTGGGAAGGCAAGGGTGGTGGTTGTGCTGCATGTGTATTGTTTGTTACTCTCTGCAGGAACTTCTCTCTGTCTGCCTTCCTTCCTCTCTTTCTGCTGCTGCCTTCTCCAGCCCCCACCCCCACCCCCGGCTCCAGAGTTCGGGGGATCCAGCCAAGAGTACTCACTCAGGCATGCTGGGCAAGGGTTCTACCACTGAACTGCAGGCCCAAATCTGAAGGAACTTTCTATCCATGATTTCATTTGATTCTAGAAGGCCAGAATTCCTCTGCATGAGTTTTAGACAAAGGAATGAGGCAGTTGTGTGGCTTCTGGCAGCCCCAGGCCCTTTATGTTACTCTCCTCTATTCTTGCCAGTTGTTCTGCTCGTTAGAGCCCTTAGAGCTTCGGGAAGACTTGCCACAGCCCTCCGTGGGGACCTCTGTCCTTAGCTTGTAGCATCCAGCTGTTGGTTGTGTGCTTTGGCCTCAGTGTTTGTGTCTGATAGCCGTGCTCTAATACTCACTGCAAGCAGATGTGATGGCTGGAAGCAAGCCACTTCATCTTGAGATCATCTCCAGGGCTGCACTTGATCACCCAGCATCTTGCTTGAGCTCTGATAGATGCTGTCTGTCAAGCAGTGCATGCTCAGAATGCCCATTTTTAACTCTGCAATATATTATCTGGGTTTCCTGGATAGTAGTAGAATCGTGCTTCAATTTATCTGTCATTTTTGTGGTTGAATAATCCAAAATGGGCAAATAAAAATGAATGTTTGTATTTGGATTCTAATTTAGCTCTCAAATGGGTTTTATTTTGGACATTATTGAAATTAATCTGTTTTCCTTGAGCACATTCCACTTATTGGCAAGGTACAGTGTCCCTCCCCCTCCAGAATATACTTGGTGGCTCTTGGGGCAAATTCATAAGATAGATAATCCATGCCAAGATAATGGAAAAGTTTATTCTAAAACTTGTTTTAAATGACAGATTGATGTCTGAACATTCAGAGCCTGGAAAGATAACACTTCAATCAAAATCCTGACCCAGACAAATCTATTTCCTTTTGTCTTTGCTCCTTTTTAGATGAGTGTATTTGCATGGATATACTACTTTTTTTTTCCTCCTGAGATGGAATCTTGTTCTACTCAGGCTGGCCTTAAGCTCCTGAGTTCAAGTGATTTTCCTGCCTCAGTCTCCTGAGGTGTGCACCCCATGTGCTCAGTATCATGCATATGCCCTACCCACCCTACCCCCTTTCTGGGAAGGATCTTTTGTGTAGACAGAGCTGTTGTAGCAGGAATCTTAAATGTTCTTATTAATAAAATCAAACCTGAGGCCAGTTATTGGGGTGAATGCAGGAAGATCAGAGAGACACAACAAGCCACAGCTTCCTCACCTCGCCGGATCCTCAGCTGGTCTTGTTTCCTCAGACTGGAGGCTTCTGAGTCCTTATCCAGAATGGGTCTCAGCTGAACTGCTGCTAGAAGCCTGAAAGCTTAACCAGCCAAATGCTTCTTGTTCCTGGTCCTCACGCCTTATATATCTTTCTGCCTTCTACCACCACTCCCTGGGATTAAAGGCTCGCTTTCTGGGATTAAAGGCGTGAGTCACCATGCTTGGCTGTATCCTTGAACACATGGATTTCTGCCTAGCTCTGCCTCCCAAGTGCTGGGATTAAAGGCGTGTGCTACCACTGCCTATCCTCTATGTTTAATATTGTGTCTGTTCTGTCTCTGACCCCAGATAAGTTTATTAGGGTACACAATATTTCGGGGAACACAATACCACCACAGGCTGGCCTTGCACTTGCATTGTAGCTGAGAATAGCTTTGAACTTCTGGTCCTCCTGCCTCCATCTCTCAAGTCCTGGCATTATTACGTGTGCCACCATCTCCAGTTTATACATACACATTTTAAAGTACTCTAAACATGAAACTGCAGTGGCTTCTGGGGAAGGTACTGCCATTTGAAGAAGCACTTGGGCTTTGGAGCTGACGGAGTCTCTGCAGTTCCAGAACTAGGAGTAATTGAACAGATTCAACCCTTCCAAGCCTTGATCTTCCTCACCTGTAAAATAAACCCATAATTTCTGTGTACCATGGTTATAAAGACATTTCTCTGAGACCTCTGCCTTTCTCTGCCTAGAGAAAACATTTTCCTTTGGAGCGGGTCTGACTTTGGCTCATTGCTGACACTTAGCAAGTTCCCTTACACAGAGAGCTGGCACATGACCAGTTTGCTTTTGTAATAGCAAGGCATGCTGCTATCCTCCTTCCTTAGACATGTTGCATTTTACTCACTACAAATAAAAGTCAATAAACTGGCCACAGTGATACAAGCCTGTAATCCTATTGCTTGGGAAGTAGAGGAAGAAAGATCAGGAGTTCACCGTTATTGTCTACTACATAGCATGTGTGAGGCCACTTGACACCTGTCTCAAACCTCCCCCTCTAAAAAATGTTACTAACAATGCCAGTTTGTTGTCACTGTGATAGCAACTATGCAGGTAGTGTCTAGATCTGAGGCTCTGCCACCTCCTGGCTTGGTGACCTTGGGAAGATCTTTCATTATTCCCAAGCTGCTTCCTCATCTATAAAGTGAGGACAGCAGTGCTGCCTCACAGGGTTGCTGGTGACTTTGAGTGAGATGATACAGTCTGAGCTCTCAGAACAGGTGGTACATACAGAGCACACTGGAATTTTTGCTGTGTGGACAATTGATGCTGGTGTGGTAAAAGGCAGCATTTCTTGTGCACATGTGTACATTCTGAAATGCAATACTAAGGAGGGGACCTACGGCCTCACACATACCAGGCAAGCACTCTATCACTGAGCTATATTCTAGGCCTTCCTTTTTCTTGAGATAGGGTCTCACTGAGTTGTTTAGCTTGTTCTGGAACTCACTCTGTAGCCCAAGCAGTCCTTGAACTTGAGATCATTCTATCTCAATCTCTTAAGCAGCCTGGATTATAGGCTTTCACCACCAGGCCTAGAATAGCAAGTCATAAATGGTAGCTGATGTTTTAGCCACTTCATAGTGAAGGAGAGTGTTGGTAAAAGTCCTGCCACCAACTCAGGAGTAGTGTTAATTGTTTTGGAAGTAACTTGCTAAGGCAGGACCTCTGGCAATTGTGAACATCCATTGAGATTGTAGCATCCCAGTTCATTCATTGCCTTTCTTGGACTCACCCAGGCCAAGCCCAGCATCCGGTGCTTCATTAAGCCCACTGAGACACTCGAGCGGTCCCTTGAGATGAACAAGCACAAGGGCAAGAAGCGGATGCAAAAGAGACCCAACTACAAAAACGTTGGGGAGGAGGAGGACGAGGAGAGAGGGCCCGCTGAAGATGCCCAGGAAGACGCTGAGAAGGCTAAAGGTACAGAGGGTGGTTCAAAAAGCATGAAGACAAGTGGGGAGCGTGAAGGTGAGTGTACCCGGGAATGGCCCTTTCACCCACGCCAACCCCTGCAGTCAGCGAGGCTTCTATGTCCTCTGTCTTCCTCCTGCTCTTTGTGTGTTCCCTGGGTGCTCTGCTCATCTCAGCACCTACCAGTGAACCTCATTCTGTCTGGACAGCCCAGCCATTCAGAGGCAGTTGTGGACTGTGTCACAGCAGACCTAGTGCAAGTCCTACCCCATGTGACCTGGAGCAAGATTTCCTACATGTAAAAAGATAGTCACACAGCATGGCCACTTTATAGTGCATTACCAGATTTAAATCACACAGTGCATTTGGCCACCTCAGAACAGTACCAGACCCTTAGGAAATGTTCTAGAGGTATTTGATGTTGCTGTGCTGTTGTTACTGTTGCCATCTTCATTCACTATTATGACTGCTGTTCTTACTCCTTGGGAGTATGATTTGTGTCCAGTGCACTATGGGAAGGGAAGGGAGCCCAGGTTTGGTAAGATGATATGTCTTTAATTGCTGATGGATCTTTGGAGTCACATGATTAAATACAGCCTCCATATTCTCCAACCGGATTTTACAAGTCCCATCTGTTCAGAGTGAGGTATAACTGTATGGTGTATATACCCTCGGTGAGCAGAAACCTGCCTTCTACTCTTGCCCTGGCAGGATTGATCCGCCTTCCTCTCTTCTCCTCTCTTGTGTAGCTGCTAAAACCCTCTGGAGCTGGAGAACATTTGGTCTGGGATTCAAAATACTTGAAAAAGCCTGTTGTTTTTATCTAGACTAGGCTCACGGCCACTTAGATGGAGCCTCCAGCCAGAGCCCTTGGGTGTTGGTGTTAATGGGACTGCTTGGTGGTGGTGGAGTCAGAGTTCTACTGGCTGGAGGGAAGATCCCACACCTCCTGGGACAAAAGCAACCTCTATGGAGCATCCCAATTGAGAGCTATGAGATTGGGGGAACATTGTGCTGACCAGCCTTATGGACCCTGGGGCTGGCAGTGGTGACTCTAAGCCTCCCAGTCCTATCCTAAGTGGCTGACACAGTCATGCAGAGCTTTGCACCAACCACTGACTAGGGCAGTGGTTGTCAACCTTCCTAATGCTGCAATCCTTTAATACAGTGCCTCATGTTGTGGTGACCCCCAACCATAAAATTACTTTCATTGCCTCTTTATAACTGTAATTTTGCTACTGTTATGAATGTAGTGTAAACATCTGATATGCGTGGTTTTCTGATATGCAACCCCTGTGAAAAGGTCATTCAAACTCCCAGAAGATCGTGACCCACAGGTTGAGAACTGCTGGACTAGAGGCTTGTTTGCTTTTGAGAACTGTGTGCTAGTCTACAGATAATGTGTACCCTGTCATCCCAGCCTGTTGACTCCCATAATGAATATCATGGCAACTGTCAGTGAATGCCATAATCATATGTCAGTGAGTCTTACCAAAATGTCCCCTGGTGGCCCAAACTTCCTAAGGCCAAGGGCTCTGGCTGCTTTTATTTATGTACAATGTGCTTTTTGGTTTACTTGGCATGTTTGGTTCCTGGAACCCTTTGCTGTAAGTATTACTTTGGTGGGAAGGTTGAGGGACAAACACAAGGTAAGTCATACTCACTGGCACTTGCTTATATTAGGTTATGTTAGGGATTTCACTAGCTGGGAAGAAAGTTATCAGCTCACACCCCAGGTCTAGCCAAGGTGCAGTGGCATAGGGCAGGATGGGTACATGGATGTCTGTATCTTGTTTTGCACACTGTGTTCTTGTCAATTTCATCTTGGAAAGATACTCCTGCTTTTGTTCCAGGCCTTTTAAGGGATGTTCTTCAGTCAGCCATGGCTGTGACCAGCAGTGGTATGGATAGGTCAGGTTTGGCCCCAGACCCTAATATAATTGTCAGCCAGATGACCCAGTCTTGATTGAAGCTGCTACATCCTTTAGGCTACTGGGCTTAGAGTGTGGGTCTGGCGCTGAGTCCTGCCTCTGCACAGGGGAAGACACTGTTATCAGCCACTAGGGTTTCCCAGGCTACCCAGCCAGATTGTGCCAAACAGGGCCCCAGGGTTTCCCCAGAGGCCAGCTGAAGTAGCTGACGCAGACTTCATAGCTCAGCCAAGCGTGGCTTCCAGTGACCCCCTGGCCATTTTGCTGCCCTTGTAGTTTCTCAAACACACTAAATCATTCTAAAACATGATGGGCTGTCATTTCCCACTCAGTTCACCCAAAATTATAAAGTGTCCACAGGCCTGGCCAGTGTACTGACATTCTGAAGCTTTCTAAAGGATGTATCTGATTTTTTAGTCTCAGATTTGAAGGTGCTGCTAAGGAATGTTTATCCTTATTCTGCATCTATGTTTAGACAAAAACTACAGCTGTTAAAATCCTGTCACTTGGAAAGGTGTCAGTTTCCTTCATTCTTATTGCAAACCAGATGTTCATTCATATAGCTTATGCAGGGACCCCTCGCCAGGCCTGGATCCTGTGTCTACAGTGGCTCTTTCCTAAGTTCCGAGTGTGTGTATCAGCAGTAGGGATGAGAGTGTTGGGCGCTGTGTCCCAGCTTCTCTTCTTCCCCCTTCTGTGCTGAGGTGCTGGGGCACTTGCTTCTTCCTTGTGTTTCTCCTCCTTTCATTGGGCCTGCATCTAGGAGGTGATTAACAGTAGCGTTGTGGCAGACACAGGTGTTGGCACTCACCACCACCCCCGTGTCTGGTGCCCCTGTTGAATTCTCTATATAGAAGGTAGGGTAAAGCAGAAGAGTAAAAGGGGGTATCTCACGAGTCACAGTTTGCCACAGCTTAATTTGAATGTGGCATCAATGGGTTTTTTATAACACGTAGCACCCAGAATTCACACTTCCTCTGCACTTAAACCCAGACAATGAAGGTGTGTGAAATGAATGTGTATCTCTACCCATCCTCCTCCATCCCCAGTATACAAAGAAATTTGCCATCCGTTGGTTCTTGAGTCCTGAGTGACTTGTTCCAAGGCCATGAGATCACCAGCACCTCCTTTCAATTTCTGCAGAAATGGACTGTTAAAGAAAGACAAAGGATGGCATCATCCCTTACTTAGCTGGAGAAGCTCTGCCCAAGAAGTCAGATAGCCCCAGCACATGCTTGTTTTTTAGCTGGCCCTTCAGCTGGAAGGGACAGCCATCTGCTTTTGGACTTGCTTAGAGCAGTATCTTAATAATGAGAGCTGCCAGAGAGATGGTCTCCCTCTACCTCCTCCTGGGAACAGCAGGCTGTGCTGCTGTTTGCCCATGGAACGAAAAAGGTTGGCTGGCTAGCCCGACCTTTCCAGCTCTCTTCCCCGAATCTCACAAGGGCCTGCAGTGAGGGCAGAAGGCAGCACTGATGGCACCTGCCTAGTCAGTTGGGGTTGGGGGTCCCTGGGGCTTTGATCCTCAGCTTTGCCCTTTTTCGAGATCTCTTCTGAAGTGAAATGGAACCTACCCTCATTCTTGACTTGTCTTTGAGATGTTCAAGTCTGAGTCCCAGTCCTGCCCTTGAGCAGCATGGTGATTTTGGGTAAGTTGACACTTTACTACACATGTTCCCCTGTGGAGGGCCTTCCTGATACTCAGCCTGAGGCTGTTACAGTGAGAATCCCCATGCTGCAGCAGTCTGCTGGTGACACAGTAGCAACCCAGCTTAAGATGGAGGGCAGAAACGCAGAGGACAGACGGGTACACTCTGGGCCTACACCCTCCAGTTTCTCCAGGCCTTTCTTCTTTCCTTCCTTCCTCTGTTCCTTGTGTATGTTCATGTATATGTCTCTGCATGCAGACCACAGCACACATGTTGAGGTCAGAGGACAACTTGGGTGTCTCTCCTCACCTTCCACCTTGTGAGACAGGCTTTTGTGTTTTGCCACTGTGTACACCAGACAAGCTGGCTGGCTAGAGAGTCTCCTGTCTCTGCCTCTTATTGCATGATGGGAGCATAGGCATTATAGACACAAGCTACTGAGTCTGGCTTTACATGCACTTTGAAGTGTGCAAGTCAGCAGTATTAAGAGTGCCTGTCTTGTGTATCATCATTATCTCCAGTATTCTTTGCATCCTGCAAAACTGAGGGATTTGAACTCGGGTCCTCACACTTGCATGACAAGTGCTTTATCCACTGAGCCGTCTCCCCAGCCCAGCAGGGCTCATTTCTGTCACTAATGAGTAAGATGAATGAACACCGATGGATGGGAGTGTGAATATGGGGGCTAATGGGAGAGAAAGAGACTTGGTGGGCCCAGGTTCTGTAGTGGAGAGAGTCTGCTTGTACTTTTCATGCAGACTTAACAGAAGAGTTGAGAGTTGTTAGGGCAAACCCTCTGAAAAACCCAGAAGACCACTCTGCCCTGCGGTACGAACAAGCGACAAGCAAAGGAGAGGTACACTCTCCTGCCTGCTCCTGCCATTGCCCTGGCCAAGTTCACCTTGAGACACTGCTCCAGAGCCAGCCAATCACAGCCCTCTCTGGTTACCTAGGTAACCAAGAGCATGTCTTTCCCCTTCCCTTGACCTTCTTGTGAAGGCCTTCCTCCCTCCCCCTCCATTGTCTGTCTTTCCGTGGTTTCTGGAATAGAGAATCCAGATTGCAGAAATCCTTGGATTGTGAAGCCAAAGACTACTGTGATATGCTGCCTGCCGTTTCCCCGAAAAGCACTTCCTCTACCAAATATTAATCAGATTGGGGTGTGCATCATCCTAGGCAAGTCAGGGAAATACTGCTATTGCTTGAAAAATCCGCGTGTCAGAGGCTGGGGGAGCTCCAGGATGTGGCCAGAGTTGTCATATCAAGAAATCAGTGTCTTTGTGTCCTGACCTTCACAGCTCTCCCAGTACTGCCGTCACTTGCATGGTACCTGGGAGATAAAGATGTCCTTGCCTGTTTGTGGTTCCTTTCTGTCTATCTTTTCTCTTTCTACTTCCTCCTCCACTTTCTTCTCTTCCTCCTCTTCTTCTGTTTCCTTTTTATTGTGGTAAAATAGTGGAAATTGAAACTTACTATC